TTGATGTGATACCTGTGCTTCTCGACCCACCCCTTCAGCTCATCGATGCGGTCCTGTTTCTCGCGATCCTTTTTGCTCTTCTTCTGCGCCAACTGCAGCGCTTCCGACTCCGACTCGAACTGATCCAACTGTATGTTGAGTTGGTCGATGGATACGGACAACCAGTTGTTCATGTCGTCCCGTTCCCTCTGCGCGGGGTCTAACTTCTGGGCGGCGCCCAACCCCTCCTTCGAGTAGGCCTTTGTCTTCGTCTCCCTCTCCACCACTTTAAACCTCTCCATCTGAGTCTCGATTAGTTTCCTATTCTCGAGGAGTTGGCGCTTGTCTTTGATCTCACTCGAGGCCACCCACGTCTTGATCTGATCCCTGAGCCTCTGTTTACGGCGTGTCGGGGAGGAGACGTCAAGTGATAACACGGATTAGACAGCGATACTAAACACGGCATAACTGGCACCGAATGGGTGACACAAACCTGTAGTTTCTTAATCTCCTTCTTGAGGTCGGCCTCGTATTTCTCCTTCTGGTTGCTGTTGTTGGCGTTGTGCACCTTCTGCCAGATGTCTTCAAAGGTCTCCACCCCTTCCGCCACCTTCTTCATGCATCTCTCGATCTCTGCACACAAACAACACATCAATCACTATGAGATCCAAAGACTCAACGCATCAATCAATCGTTTGTTTGCATTGAAAAATTCAAACCAAAAGTTATGACAGTATTTGTCACCAAAAAAACAATTAAATCAAATCAAATGCATTGACAAAAAGTATTGCAAAAATGCAATCAAATGTAAATTAAATGATTAGAAAAAAGTAAAAAACAATTTATCGGTATTTAGATAACGAGAGAAGAAGTGATAAAACTCTTGGAGTGGAAACGAAAACACAACAAACGATTGATTGCTCGCATGAGTGCTTTCGCATGAATGGTGGGCCCCCTCGGGGGTGACCGCCACGGGGCTGTCAACGGGTGGCAAACCTTGTAATTTACGTCGATCTGCCATCGCATTAGCTATAATACACGGATCAAATGCAGTGGTGATGATGTCTG